GAGTCCAGCTGGGCTGCCACTTTTGTCGTAGTTGCAGAAATTCTGTAGATTTGACTCTCAGCCCATAACCAGTCTTGTTCTTGACCAGTCCAAAAGCCGAGGCTTCCGAATTTGCCTTGACCATCAACTCTTGCAATGGCTTGTCTGGTGTCCAAATAACCTTGAAACCTGGGTCCAGGGTTCCATCTTCCTTCCTTGGCGAAAAGTAAATGCCAGCTCGGATCTGCTTCAAGATAGTTTCCAAACATTCTCTCTTGATCCTGAGCATGAGGTAGCAGGTTTCTGCCTGACTGGCATCCATCACTTGCTTGGATCGTTGGAAGAATTTTCGGCCCCATGACCCAATAAAACCACGCTCCATTGCCTGGATCTTGGTCTTGAGAAAGCGCGTGGTACCCTCCACCATCTCATCCCATTCCTCCATCTCAGCTTTGACCATTTCACAAGAAACCACTGTGGCATCAACCTCCTCGACCGTGACAATGTTAGACTCCTCAGCCAACCCGATCATCTTTTTGCCAAAGTTGATCAGCTGTGCTCTCACCAGGATTCGTGTATTGTCCTTGTTACGGCAAGGGGTCTCCACATTCTTGACCTTGAAGTTGGTTGAGCTCTGAAACGTAGAACCAACGACCAATGCAGCCAGCTCATTGTCAGACATCGTCTCTTGGGATTGCATCAAGATCTCCGCCTCCTTTTCGCTAATGAGTGCTAGACCACAAGCTCCGTGGGCAAGTTTCTCCAGTGTCACTGGGTGGCTCCCATCTTCCATCTGGAAAAAACTGTTCTCCAGCTTCCATGCTCCCCTTTCCTTCAGGGCTTGTGTCCAGGGATCTGCAATCTGGAGCGGGTCAACAGCCTCTTCTTGCACCGTTTTTGCCCGGGGTTTGTGCTTAGCCTCTGCTTCACGAACAAGTCTGGTGGTACATCGTGCTTTCAATTGAGACCACGGATCGAAAGACGTGTAGACTTCCTTGATGCCTTTCTCCCCAATTTGGGATCGCACCTCTTGGATGCGGGCTTCCAATTGGTCCTCCGGCACACCCTTCGATTGAAGCATATGCTTGAGTTTCTGGACTGCATTGCCTGTGCCTCCACGGAGTCGTCCTCTTACAATGACTGTAGATCCAACCGGGATTTGGTCGCAAGTAGTCCTTGGTCCAAGTACTTTGACTCCCCGGGTGAAGTAGAAGGAGTGAGGGGGCAGTCCCCATTCATCTTGGACAACCTCCTCCAGAGTTCTCTTGTCCCTGTGGTTGAAGCAGCAGAGTTGGTGCTGGAAGAGGATGTAGAAGGCCGTGTCTGCCTTCGGGTTCTTGTGGATGTCTTCATAGTTGATGGTCGCCGGGAGGGCATTGTCGCGGATGCTCTGCAGGTCCCTGTCTTCTCTTGTACATTGTCTCTTTGCAGAGAAGTCCACGTCCTGAAATGGCATGCCTCTGACCCGGTCAGAGGCTTCAACCTCGTAAGGCTGTGTCGGGTCTACCTGAGTCGTCTCAGTACTGCCCAGCATTTCATGGGGTGCCACAGGGTTGGAATCCGGTGGAGTAGCAGGGGATCCATCGTCATCCGGTGCATCAGAATCTCCATCATGTGGGTCCATAGTAGGGCCACCCGGGCTACTTTCGCCACCTTCATCTGTCGGTGAGGCCGGTGGTTCAACTGAGGACTCATCAAAGACTTTGAAAACGTCCAGTTCCCTCCATGTTTGTGCTCCAGCGCTGTGGTTCCATCTCAATCGGATATGGTCACCTGATTGGATACAGACTGGCCATGCGAGAACTTCTTTGTCATTCACTGTGATGAGGTCCGGAGGTGTGGACTGGTGGTCAGCATAAGTGTACTTCAGGTCCGATATGTCAATCTCACTGTTCAACCACCATGCTGCCGGTGCCGCCGGGTCCACTAACACCAGGACCTTGCCATAGGATTCCTGTGGCACTTCACCTGCCAGAATCCAGTATAGTGTCTGCTCCGTTGGCTCAGTAAGCTTGGCAATGGCCACATTTTCTTGTGGCACCTGGATGAACTCAGCCACTTTCCGATTGACTTCTCCAACCGTGTCTTCATCATCCAATACAATACTGTGGTACCCATGCTCTGCTTGGAACAATCTCCAGGTCTTCGAATTGTCTGGTTGGTCCCCCATTTCCTCATACAGGGTTCTGCTGGTCTCAGGCAAGAAGGGTGTCACTCGTCCCTGTTGGCGTCCATAGGTAAGGGAATCAATCTCGATCTGCAAGCCCACCAGCCTCGTGGTCAGGTAGCCCTGAGGCCCCATCTGCGCGAGGTCGCCCCTTTTGATGAGCTTTGACCAGCCGTTCTTGTCGAAGGGGATGAGGTCGTCAAAGGGCTCCCATTGTTCACCCCATTCCGTCAGAGCGGCATCCAGGTATCTCATCATCTCATCTCTTCCCATCTTTTGCTCGTGTCGGTGGCCAAGTGCCGAGACAAGCACTGTGAGTGCTTGGCAGGGAAGCAAGCACTGGTTGAGCAGTGCCAGAGCATCTTTCTCATTGTCAGGGAGGATGTAGTCCATATGGAAACCATAGGCCCTCAGGATCTCCCACTTTGATAGGGCCCTGATGTCTGCTCCATGATACAAGAGTGGAACGAAGAGTCCTCGCTTCTTCAAGATAACCCACGGCAGATCAAGGTTGAGGCGGTAGTTCCCCAAAAGGATGGGAAGTGGCTTTCCTGGGTTGATCAACCGGATGTGGATCGGTGATCCCACATTCTGCTGGAGGTATCGGGGAAGCAGTTCCCGGGTCGTGACTTTGGTAAGCTCGGTCCCAATGAGTCGGACTGTCGAAAGCACCATTGCAGGCATATGCTTCCAGAGCACCGGTTCACACGGCATCGGGGGCCGGTCACTCAAATGCAGCATTCTGAAGGGCATTCCCACTGAGGGATTGTCTGCACTGTTCCATGCAATCATGAAAAATCTCGGTTGCTCCACCGGCTGCAGTCCTGTTGGGTTGAGCACTCCATGCCAAATGACTCTGTAGCCCGCCCATTTCAAAAGGGATCGGATGGTCTCAAAGTCCTCATGCTGAGCAAATCCCGGAAGGGCTTCCACAAGCAATGCTCTCCTCTGCAGGAACCTCATAACTAGGACCATCTGGAGCCAGGCCACTGTCGCCTTGGAGTCCTGGAGCCCCGGAGCATTTCCCGTGGCAGTGTATGCTCCACAAGGCGGCGAGGCACAGATAAACTCAGTGTTGGTCTTGTGCAAGGCCGTCGTCCACCTGAGGTCAATCACTTCACCCCAGAAAGTGTTGAACACCTCTTGTTCGCCCTCTCTGCTGAACAATATGGTGTCCTTCTGGTTGAGCAAAGTAGAACTGATCGCCATGCCACCGAAGCTACAGAGTCTTCTCGGCTAGGTAACAGGATGCTCGCTGTGTTCTCCGTAGTCGCTGGAAATCTCAAGCAGCGTTCTGACTGCATGTCCAAGAAGATCTTCGCTCCGATCAGCATGTATACTTCTCCTTTCTCAACTTTCTGTCTGAAGCTGGTGCAGTCGAATCGAAGCTCCTCGCCCGTCAGTTGAGGGAGTCTGCTATCCGCAACATCATCAAGACAATTGCTCAGCCTCAGGTCGACCACCTGAGCAATGCCATGGTGCGTTGTATCCATCTGCTTCACTTTCACCGAGCAGTTGAACACCCATTCTGGTCGGATGTCCTCGACCTCTTGGGTGATGATCCATCCCATGTTCCGCAGTCCTTCCATGCGGTCCATAAGGGGAGCGACAGCTCCTTTTCCCAAAAGTGAATCCATGGCTCAGAGTCGGCACCCGAGGGATCCAGCCACACCGCTGGGAGGTCCTGAGCCTTCGTGGCTTTTTGGGTTGTAGGGTTTAGGGCTTTGGGGCTGTAGGGCTTTGGGGCTTTAGGGTTAAAGCCCTGAGGTTTTAGGGGCTTTGGTTTTTAGGGTTTAGGGCTTTAGGTTGTAGGTGTTTTTTTCAGGGTTTAGGGCTTTAGTTGAGCATTTTGCGGGCTAGTTGCTATACGGGATCTGTAGAGCATCTGTAGGGGGTTTAGCGGGGATGTTTTGCTCATAGGGTTTCCAAAGAGGATGTCTATAAGAGGGAGGGTTCGGGTTTTTCGGGAGTTTGGGTTTTCGGTGTTTAAAGGATCCATTTCCGATAGCACTCCTAGGCGGTTGCAAAGATACCTCAGAGAAGGTTTCGACGACAAAACGTGAATCAATGATGAATCCTTCAAAAGCTTGTGTGCTTGCTTCTCCGCTGTCTTGGATGGGGCCGAGTGGATTTTGTCCATGGTATGGCATCCCCGTGCGTCCACTACTCGTGGTGGGACGCCCGACTCACACACCCGGACTCATCATGGAAGATTTCATCGCACCAGCAACACCGCCGTGCTGCACAACTTTCTCGGCGACAGCTTGACGCCCTTGATTTCTACCTCGACCTCTTCGCTGTGGTCAAGCGGTTCGTGCTTGGACTGGTTGCAAACTGACGACAAAGAAAGTTGCTGTTCGGGTGAGAGCTTGGGGTTCACAGTTTAGAGTTTGAATTTAGTGGGTCTGCTGCCAAGTTGAAGTTTTTTTACAGTAACCTTTGTAGCGTGTTGAAAAACTTGCAGTTCCAACCTGAACTAGGCTTTTCAGCCGTTCCGTTGTGCTTCCTGTTACAGCAGTCGCTCGGGGGGTATAGGTTCCTCCAAACTTTGGGTTTTAGTTTCTATACTAACCCTAAACCCTAAACTCGATAGGTTACAAAAAACTAGCGTAAGGGCGCGTAGTAAAAACGCCTTCAAGTCAGATCGGGGACACTGTAGGAGTGCAAAGTCCAGGGGAGGGGGAGGGTTAAACGCATTCTTGGTACAGGAAAACCACTCTGCTGGCCAACCTCATGCTCTTTCCGGTTGTCGGTCTAGTGAAAAGCGCCGGAACGAACCCGAAACACTAAAACCTAAACCGACTAAATTCCAAACCCTATAGAAGCTATACTCCAAATTCTTCAGCCAAGCTTCCGAAATCCTGTGCAGCCCTCGCCGCGGCATCGCGAGTAGCGGCCTTCGCCAACTTCCTTGGCCAAGCCAGGGCGAGGCTGTAGGGCTGTGAGGGCTTTGAGGGTTTAGGGGTTCAGGGTTTCGGGGTTTAGAGGTTTAGGGTCTAGAGGTTTAGGGTTTAGGGGGTTAGGGCTCCGAGGGATTAGTGGGCTTCGTATTTGGGAAGTTCTCGAAATTGATGCCGTACTATTTGTCGGACCTAGAAAAAGACCCTGATTTCGTGAACTGCCCATTTGAGATTCAGGGTTCTCGGTTGGAGACTTTCGGCCTGAGGGTTAAGCCTTATGCAACGAAAGATTGAGGCTGCAACGATTTCCTAAACTAGACTCAAAACTTTCCTATATCTCTATAAACCCAAAACCCTATAACCATAAACCTTAAGCCCTACAACGCTATAAACCCGAAAACCCTGTAACTCTATATACCCAAAAATTTATAACTCTAAATACCCCAAACCCTATAAACATTAAATCCCTATAACTGCACATATATCTGTATATAAATAAACCCTAGGCCCTATAACTCTATACGCACTAAACCCTATAACCCATAAACCCTAAACCCCACAGAACTCTATATACCCTAAACCCTATCATCTCATGGGTAGCTCCAGTTCGGAGCCCTGTGCGAGCTTGAGGCTTTCATCCGTCAAATCTACATCCTGAAAACAGCCAGGAATCCGTGCAAACCCAACAGCCTGAAAACCACCCTCACGTCTGCGTCATTTAGCGGTTGGGCTTGCTTAAACCCTGAAACTTCGAACCTATAGTGACTCAGGTCCATACAAGCTACTGGCAGGCCGGTAGCCCGTGAATAACATCCTCTAGGTGGGCCAGGTGCCTGGACAAAAGCGTCGATGGTGCAGGGTTACAGCGTTAGGAATTCAGGGTCTTGTTGGGGGTTTGTGGTTTCTATATGTATATATGTATATACACATACACGTATTAAATACATCCTACATATATATATATATATATATGTATATGCGCACGATACACATACATATAATTACATACATCTACACCTACATATACATATACAAATACACCTACTACACCCACACCTACAGACACATTGTACATGTACATATACATATACATATACATACATACATACATGAACCGCGTGATAGCGGAAGTACACACTTAGGGCTTCAGTATTCAGAAAGGGCTATACCGAAGGTAAGGAAACTCCGTGATTCTGCAGGACTTAGGGTTTGCGGCCTAGGGTTTGGAGGATCAGGGGTGGTTGCTGGTGTTGGAGGTGTTAGCTGCTGGGGATGTTGCCGCTGATGGGGCTGACGAGCTTGCCAGGGATTTTGTAGAGCAGGTTCTACGTACGGCCCGGTGCCTTTTGCATAGCTCAGGATTCATGTGGCTTACAAATCAGGTGCTGAGAGTTTATAACTCTGCGGGAAATGCGCTGCCAGCAGCTGTAGTCAGCAGCTGTGTAACAAGTTTCCGAAAACATGGGACCCTAATATAGTACCCTAAATAGTAGGATCCTTATTCTAAGGACCCCCAAATAAGGCACCCCTGATTTTCGGAAAGTCCCAAATAATTCCAGAAGCCCAAGCATTCATCCCGGAGGGGTCCGAGAACTCCTGAGCCCCAACTGCCAACTGAAACCCTCTTGCACCCCACACCCTACCTGAACCCGGAATAACCTACTCTTTTATGGACTTATATAAGGAAATCATATTGAGGAACCCTTAAAAGGCAGGTTCTTCAGGGTTAAGGTAAACCCTAAGTGGCCTCTTCTCCTCTGCGGAGTCGAGTGCTGCCGCCATCCTCTGCTCAAGCAAGATGATGTCAGGGGACTGCATGCTTTTGTATGGGGGCCTGAATAACCACCAAGCGTGGACTACTTCTCAGGGCTTCGTATTACGACTGGACTATACCACAAGATACCCACCCAAACCCCCATTCTGAAAAGCAATCATTTTGGCATCTCTATTCAACCCGAAACGAACCTCGCATCCTTTGGCTGCTGCCGAAGAGCAGGTCGTGCACTTCACTCTGAGAGAGAGCGGCCTGTGGGAGCCGAAACAAGGAGGTTTTTCCACAGAGAGGCGTGTAATTTAGGGCCTTAAGAAATAGAATGTAGGGCTTTGGAGCCCGCTATACTGTACATATCAGAAGGACCCCCCCCCAAAAATAGCATAGGCAATCTTTTAGGCTCCCTGTTTTTGCTCACAGTTGATAAGTGACGTTGCAGCCAAGAGCCTGGATGCAAGCAAGCTTTATGGTTAGAGCTTCGCAGGTTTATGGTTTGGGGATTTGAGTGAGTCCAGATATGCAGGATCAAGCATTTTGCTCCGGATGCCACAGGGTGTGAAGTGTCTGGTCGAGGGGTCCGGATGAGCAAACAGCGGCGCGCACGCGCAACATAAACCATGTGGCCGTGAGGAACATAGACCTTGGCATGGCATGCTTGGATCGACCCTGGCTCCAACCAGAGTGACAGATGGGCTACATTCATCGAGCGGAGGTCATGGCCGTGGACCATTCCCAAACCGTGAATTCATCAAACAAACCCTGCCAAACCCTATGCAAACCCTCCGAAACCCTGCAAGACTTCATAACACCGTGTTTATCAACCCTTTAACTTCATCCCGCTTTGTAGGTTAACATGTCTTTTGAATATGTGTATATATATATATATATGTATATGTATATATATATATATATATATGTATATACTATAAGTTATATGTATAGTATGTATATATATATATATATATATATATATATAGATAAATGAATAAATAAATATATATATATATAAACATATAAATATATAAATATATGAATATAAATATGAATATAAATATAAATATAAATATATATATATATATATATATATATATATATATTCATATATATACATATATACATATATATATATATATATATAAATATATTCATATATATATATAAAATATAAATAGATATACATATATATATATATATATATATATGTAGATACAATGCGCCAGTCGACTTCCAGAGCTCCGGCCTTTCGCGCGGAGCGCAGCAAATGCTCCAGACTTGGCCACACGACGAAGTCGACTTGTGGCGCCATGCCTGGGCTGCGGAGTTCAGGATTTTGAGGGGGGTTTGGGGGTTTCGAGTTCAGGATGTGGGGTTTGTGGGACTTGCTTCGGGCCACGGGGCGGGGGCCTTTCTTCGCTTGTTGAAGCGTTCAGCATCTTGTTTGGCATCCGGCTCAATTACTTGTTTCATGATCTTGGCAGCTTCCATGATCATGGTTTTCGCTGGTTTCTTTGGGTGGCTCTTCGGAACTTATGTATCTCTGAGGCTTTACAACTCTGCTTGTCTGGTCGGTCTCTGTGACCCGGATGAAAACTTCGACCTGTTGCTTCAATTTTGCCGGTGCCACTTGGCTATGGGCGACGCTCGTTTTGGCTCGTTCCTAACCCTAAACCCTAAACCCTGGTCCCAGGTCTTACCCGGATCTTTGCGAAGGGTCCAAGGGCCTGGGGAGGTCCGGCACCTGGGGCTTATGATTTGCGGTTACCTTGGGGTTCAGGGTTCGGGGTTGTAGATTCAAGACTCAGGGCTTGGGCATTAGGATAGGTTTAGGGTTCAGCATATATTAAATGTATATCGCACACCACAAGGCGCTCTGGATATGGGTTTACGGCTTGGCCGGACTTGAGTCGAGCGAGGATTAGCGAGCCGCTCGCAAGCAGCAGGAGTCACCCAATAGACATTATGGTAGAACTAGAAAACTGGAACATGACTAGCCTCATGCCCTTAAATGAAAGTATAAGGGGTCCTAGCATTAATCATCCTTAGCCACTGTTCCGACTTTCTGGGTTCGGTGTACATGTAACCTGTGCAAGCTCCCAGATCTGGAACGACTCCTGATCCTTGAAAGCCAGCACACCTATAAATCCTCAACCTTACGTGCTGCAGAGCCTCAAGCATCCAAGACCTCACCAGCATCCACGTAGTCACACTCAAAGAGGTCCAGAAAGCGCAGGGCCTGGACATGAAACCCTGTTGGAATTAACATAGAAGGTGGAGGTGGCCGGGGGGGGCGGGGGTTGGGGGGTTGGGTGAATCTACGATGTAGTCTCTCAGAGGCAATGCGGCCCCAAGAGCCATGCCCAATGGAACCACAAGTACAGTGGAGACTAATGCTGAAACTGGATTGTAATGGGGATCCTAGTAATACTGAGGCCGAGTGAGCATCCAAGTCTTGCACAGAAGCACAAGCCTCCGGAGCAGAGAAGTGGCCAGCCGACCCCTATACTAAACGGGCATAGTTTACAGTAATCCGACTAGCAACACGCATATAGTAACCCTCCTATCCACCCTTGTGGTAACCCCTACAGTACAGCAAGCCTTATGGCCTTATAGTATGCCTTTGAAGGAGCCCCGTTTCAAGGAAACCTCATAGTCCATTGTTTTCAAGCAACCCGCACCGACCCCTGTAATGTAGGGCCCTTACATAAGGAGCCCCCTCAAAATGGTATTGGCAATTAGTTACAACTCGCCTGGCAGCGGCGGAGGTGGGCCAGCCCTTTCCGCAGTGCACGACAGCCGCTTAAGCTCAGCCATCCTCGGGTGGGCTTAAGCGGTTTATGGCGCAAGAGCTTAATCTGCTGATATGAGCTTTGGGAAATCCAACATAGAGATTAAGGTTTAAGGCTGAATAAGGAGCTTCCGGCTTAAGAGTTTAGGGTTGAGGGCCTGAGGGCTTAGGGTTTGTCATGTAAGGGTTTAGCATTAACGCTGTAAGAGCTCAAGGGCTTTGGGCTTTAGGGTCATCAGGGCCTCACCAGGGTTTAGGATGTTGGGACTTCGGGATGAAGCTTTATACGGGGCTTAGGAGACAGGAATTTTTTGGATCATGTTTTGCGGTATGTGAGGGTTTGAGGAGCTTAGGGTGTATTAGAATTGACAAGGATGAAGGAGTTTATGGACTGTGGTGCTTTGAGCATACAGAGTTTCCGGGTTTTCGGGGCGAAACGACGGACTGGCTGTCACGTCGCAGTCGCGCTTCGATCGTTGTTCATGAAAGTTTTGCGAACATGTTGGGCGACGGGGCAGGGGCCCTGGAGGGTGTTCTCACCAGCCCCCTGACTAAGGCATATCCCGATATGGGATTTTCGTGTTGAGTGTTGAAGCCCTTTTTGAAAGGTTTGAGGGTGTCGGGTTTGGGTTCGAGGTTGGGTTGTCTTTAGCGAACGCCAATGCCACTTCAATTTCAGCCGAAATAGTAAGGATCCATCGTTGATCCGAATCGCAATGTACTTGTTGCCGCAGGATCAGTTTAGAAGTTTAGCATGGTGTCCACAATGAAGTACGCTACTAACTTTTCGCCCAGCCCTAGCTTTTGCAAATCTGGAACCAGGCACTCTGGCACGAGGATTACATATCTCATCAGGACCCTAAGGGGGGGTAGGGGGAGGGGGGTTGGGGGCCTACCCCCCTCCCCCCTAGCCCCCTTAGGGTCCCTATGAATCTTCTGGGAAACCAGCGACCCAAAGCGAGCTCAAGTCACGTAATTCGACAATACAAACACCTTCGTGAGTAGAAAAGGGGTTCGGGATAAAGGATACTGCAACCATAGTCAGAGCACGGTCTGCGTGTCATCGGTATATGTAATACCGTTATGGATACAGATATCAATATGGCTAAGGATATGGATATAGGTATAGATTGAGATGTAGATGTAGATTTAAATGTAGTTCAAGATATATAAAGAGATACATAATATATATATATATATATATATATATACATATATATATATATATATATATATATATATAGGAGAGAGAGAGAGAGAGAGAGAGAGAGATATTTTATGACATACATGTATGTCTTTATACACACACACAGAATACACCGTCATGAGAACAAGGAGCCCTCAAGACCAGTAATTAAGCTACTATTCATTATGGAAATGATGAAAATTATATGTTCTGCTGGCCCAGCGGCGGAGAGTTGGATTTCCTAGAGCTAGGACCTCCTTGGGCCACAAGCCGCGATGCCGAAATTCCTCGGCTTGGAGCGAAGGAAAAGGCTTAGGGTCAAATATTATAGTATATTATAGTTGATTATATTGTATTTTGGTACTTTGAAGTAGATTATAGTACTAGGGCCAATGAGCTTTGGGCTGCAGCCTAGGGGGTTTCACAGGGCTGAAGGCCTGGGCGGTTTCACACCGGTTTGTGCGCTTGGTTTTCGGGGTTATAGGGCTGAGGCATTGTCTTCAAGGGCTTTCAGTGCCTCACAGGGCGCTGTAGATCCTGCGGTTGTCAGGAGTTTCCATTCCGGGTGGATCACGGGATGAACGTCGGTGTTCATGCGCCTTACAAGGCCGGTAAACGGCGTGGAATTGAATAGTTCTGGAAGTTCAGATTCTGCACCCTTCGGATGTAGAGGACACCCAACTCCTCAATCCTCGTAAAATGATCTGGTATAGGGGCCTTGTTTTTACTGGGGCTTTGGGGTATGTTAGGGTTGAATAGGTGGAAAGATATGTGTGTGTATGCAGACACAGGTATATACATGTGTTCATTCATTTACATAAACCTCTACACACATATCAGTATATATATCTATATGTATATATATATACACACATATCTATGTTGTTGACTATTTGCATAAACTGATCCGTAGATCTACATAGATAAACTTAAACTTAAACATACATACATACATACATACATAGTGCATATGGACGATAGACGATAGTTGTACACTGTTATTGTCAGACCTCCATACTGCTGATCTTTATTCGCCCACCTACGCGGCTAAGTCAGGACGGAAGTCTCTGCATGAGTCGAGGGATAAAGTCAGATGCCACGTAGCAAGCACCCACATCATTACACCGTTGAATTTTGAAACAAGGCTCAAGGACCATCTTAAGGCAGAGCTCTGGTGAAGCAGGTTCCTACAAGACCTCAAGCCGCCGCAAACCATTACGGGACGTAACCTATGCGCTTTCAACCCCGTCTAGAGCCCTTGAAGTCTTGAAGAACCCTCGGATGTCGGGGCGCCCGTGGGTCCGTCTTGCCATTCGCCCCTGGGACTTCCGGAGCTGTGGTCGCTGCGGGTGCCGAAGGCTTCACCGGAAGTCCTCAACAGCGTTGAGGGTTGAGGGTTCCTCTAGGGTTCAAGAAGAAGGGTCTATGAGACGTTAAGGTTTAGGGTTCGGGGTAGGGGGTTTCCGAGCAGGGTCTTACACGGCTCCCGTAAAAAATACGCCGCTTAGGGCTACCGAGTGATTTCTTTTGAGTCCTAGAGGTGGGTGGGCTCTTTCATGGGTGGTTTTGAGTTCCGACAGTTCTAAACCATAGCGCTCTTGATTAACTCATGAGTGTGAACTATTTACTACTCAAAACAAGAACAAACAAAAACTAAACCCCAAACCCTTAAGCCCTAAACCCTGAACCCTAAACCGTGAACCATCAACCCAAATGTCTCAACTCAAAGCCCCTAAAACCCTATACACCCCAAACCCAAGAGTCTGGGCCCTAAACACGAAACCCAAAGCTCCTAAAACCCTATTAACCCTAAACTCTGGGCCATAAACCCTTAACCCAAAGCCCCTGAAACCCTATAGACCCCAAATTCCGAGCCCGAAAAGTCGGGCGGGCGAGGTTCCCTCGGCTGTGGTGCCGGGCTCCTTCTTCGCCTGCCCAAGAAGCTGAAGCCTTATTGGGTCCCTTTAAAGGGTACTGGGTTCCTTTCAAGGGTTCTATATATTACCGTAAGGGTATAGGGTTTACTTGGAGGTTCGCGGGTAGTGAAAGGTAGGGTTGTAAGTAGGGTAACTATACTTATAAGCTAAGCCAGATTAGGGGACTTATAACCCCACTTATAACTACCCATGAACCTCCAAGTACCGCTGAGGGAAGTTGCGGAGAGCGGGTTTATGCAGGATTTCAGGTCCAAGGTTCCGAGCTTGGGGTTTCAGGGCGACCGCTGAGGGAAGTTGGTGAGCGCGGTTTATTCAGAATTCAGGATTTCATGTCGTCTATGGTTCCGGGCTTGGGGTTTAGGATTTACGGTCTAGGGTTGAACGCCTAGAACTTTCTGTTTCTGGTCAACTTGGGTCGAATATGCAAGAAACCGGGTACCCTTTCCGTATACGAGAACCCTTCAATCATGCGGCAGAAGGGCACTGCCAGAGAGCCTCCGAGAATGATCCTCTAAGTGGGTTCTATGGGGGTCTTTTGTGTGCGGGGCTGGGGCAGTCGAGCTTGTGGAATCGCTTGGCGGGACATCCTGCAAGCATTTAATCAGGATATTCGGATGTTCCTGCGGTTACTCCCGGCATCTTGCTTCTGCGCACCGCCATTTTCGAGGGCTTAAATTTCTAGCTGGTCAAGGGTGGCTTAACACTGCGTCAAAATCCCGCAAGGACCAAGTCTGAAGCTTCAAGCTTCAACGTGAAACTTGTGGAAATCCGATATGTCTCCTCACAGAACTTCGGGTTCAAAACGCCCACCGAGTGATAGTAGCATAGAAACAATACTACCGTAAAGTTCATCCTAATATCTTTTGGCTGACTAGCAGTCTGCCAAAACCCAAAACCGTAAGCCCGAAGCCTAGAAACGCAATGATTATGTACACTCGAGTGGCTTATGGCAACTTATGGACTGATCTCTACCTGAACCATAACTTCAAAACCGTTTAAATCACAGAAAGACCAAGACCAACCAACCTTCGTACCCGGCAGGGAGGCTGCTGGCATGCCCGGGATCGCGCCAGACGGAGGAACCTTCGGCCCTGACAAGGAGGATTTAAGGCTTTGAGAGGCTTTGCATGAGGTTATATAGGGTCGCAAACAAAGTTTATAGGGCATTCAGTGGGGCTTCATAGAGTCTTTGCTGCAAGAATATGTGAAAAAGTTTAGTGGATAAAGCCGTCTGGTTCCGGAGCTCAAGGGTTCAGTAAGTAATCAAAACAGAATCACAAAAACTTCCACCCGAAAACCGAAACCTGATAGTTAAATAAATCGCTGCTAAATCTATGAAGATGTTTCGAAAGCCAAACCCTTCACACCCCGAACGTCTTATCCCCCAACCCCATACCCAGGTCCACGGTTCAGTCTTCAGTGTTCAATGTTCATGCTGTAGCTTCCACAGCTTTGCAACATTATCGCAATTGTCGTCGAAACCATCGGACCTGCTTCAGCTCCAAATGCATCGGGTGCGTCAACTCCGAAATATTTGATTGTAGCACTTTCCGTCAAATCCGTCGAACGACCTCCCGGACGCGGTGGCGAGTCGGCCGGCTTTGCTGCAGCATTCGGCGTCTCCTGGCGATAAGAGAGGGTGAACATTGCTCATACAACGGCTTCAGCCAAGCAACTACCACGCTAATCTTGTTTCCACAAGTGATTGCATTTACCAATAGTTGCAGTAGTTGTGGTGGTGGTGGCGAGGCAGTGGCAACTGTGGTGGTGGTAGTGGTGGTAGTGGTGGTAGTGGTGGTAGTGGTGGTAGTGGTGGTAGTGGTGTGCGTGATCGTGGTGATAGTGATAGTAGTAGTAGTAGCAGTAGTAGTAGTAGTAGTAGTAGTAGTAGTAGTAGTAGTAGTAGTAGTAGTAGTACGACTACTACTACTACTACTACTACTACTACTACTACTACTACTACTACTACTACTAGTAGCAGCAGCAGCAGTAGCGGTAGCAGCAGCAGCAGCAGCAGTAGCAGCAGCAGTAGCAGTAGCAGTAGCAGTAGCAGTAGCAGTAGCAGTAGCAGTAGCAGTAGCAGTAGCAGTGGAAGTAGCAGCAGCGGTCGTAAAAGTTGGGGACGCAGCCTAAAGGAAGCAATAGCAATCATAGTTGCAAACATAGCATGATCGCATGATCGTAGTAGTCGTAGACGTGGTAATTACAAGTAACCGACATAGCTCAGTCTAACTATTCGGACTACAGGAGTGTTACGGACAGTGCGTTTTCAATAGCAGCAGACGCCGAAGCTGCCTCGGAAAGAAACGCACTGATTGAATGCCGTATATAATGAGCAATAGATCTTTTGTGATCGGGTTTGCATGGCTTGTTCCTGTGGTAACATGAAGAACTCACACGCAAACAATAAAGATCCAATGTCGCGCTGTCCTCAATTAAATGAAGCTGATTCTGTGACGTTTTCAATACTGCGCTAAAATTATCGCCTGGCGCTGTTGCTTTCAGATTCCTTTCTACTTGTCAGTCTTAATAGCGCAGAGGATGACAAGGACTCCTGAGGCTGCGTATTGAACGGGGTTGCTGCCTTTTGGAAGCCTTCTGAGGAATTCATGTTGTCTCAAGCTCGGGCTCCAAATAGGTCGATTTATCTAAGGTTTGGTTTTTTGTTGAGAACATGGACCGTTAACTTTTGGAGGCTGTCTGATAGGTTCGGGAGGGGTTCTACGGGATTTACCCAAGTTGGGTTTCTGGGCCTAAGAACAGCAACCTCAAGCTCTTGGAAGCTTTCGGTTCGCTGTGCCGGCTTACTTTTGTATCACTCTGATGGCACGAGCGGGGTGTCTGGGGAGCACGAAGGGATCCCTTATTGAGGCCGTCCGGAAATTGTTGGCGTGGGGGGGGGGGGGGGTGGGGGGTCGGCGACAGTACAACTTACACAACTTACCTCGAAGTACTGTTAAATACATAATCGGACAGAACATGTCAACACGAAACCGAACCGGTGCCAAATCGTTGCCTAACTATGAAGCAACATGTTTCATGGCTGCAGTGCGAAACTAGCTGATTTTGCAGAGGTCTTCGTGAAACGTGTTCGGGATCGAGGCCATGCTATGTACTTGCTGATATCTTTCGGTGCGCCATTGCTACGATGTTTTTTAAAGACCGAAAGCCGCGAAACCCTGATCGCATGTTTCGCCGGTCGTGAGGTATGCTTGCAAACACTGACAGCATGTATATGGAAGAGTGAGAACCGGTGAAGAGCGCAGCATGCAAGGAACTAGTCTAGACAACGCATAGCTCTCAGCATCCATGCCGTCACTTCGCCAGTCAACATATCATCGATGTCTCCAGCATGCCAACTTCTGCAAAGGCTTGTTCCTCTCCGAAATCCCCGAAGCCAAGCACAAAAGCTTGGGTGTTGTCAACAGAAAGTCCGGCAGACGGAGCTGTATCTCAATACAACTTTTACGTGGTATCTGCGCAGCGATCATGGTATCTCAAGCAAATTCGTTGCTTCTACCGTCGGGCACCATGGAGCTGCTCATTGTGAAATTCGCGGCACTGCATCCAACACGAAGAAGCTGGTGGAACGCGGCGTAGTTCGCGATGAAGGTACACGCGTCATAAACCCCGCGAAGTCGGATTCGCGATGTATGAGGGGTTTAGGGTGTCGGATCGAGAAGTTCATCCTTTTGCTGCTTCTGGGGCTTTAGGATTTGATGTTTTGAAGTATTTTGTAGGGTTTTGGAATAGCGAGGACCTGCAAAGAGAAACTTATCCCATGACTGGCTATGTGGCTCTCTGTCCCTTCTCCTCCAAAAGACATTACACCCTAAACCCAAAAGATCGGATCTTCATGCTAGGGAAGCTAGGTTGCTAGACCTGACTGTCGTGGAGAAAAAACAAGGTTCCTATAGCGGGTACCATACGGGTTCAGGTTTGGGTTTTATTTAAGGCTCTATATCAAGGTCTACAGCTTGATGAAACTTCCCTTCGTCCTTTTGAGGTGTCTTCCAGATCACGTTCGTGTTGGCTTCCAGGGATAATTGTGAGTGTTCTGTTGTTGGGTTCAAAGTGTGCAGTTTGGGCCCCCACTCCCTACTACATCCGAAACTCTGAAACCCCATTAAACACCTTCAAACGCTTGAAGCCTGCTTACAAACCGTGGATAAACCTTTGACGGCATGTTCGGCCGAGGTCCGAGATTCGAGAGCCTGTTTACTTCTAGCGAAGAAGTCCTAGAATCTCTGCGCAGAGTAATGCTCTTAACAGTAGCGGATGAAAAAGAACACGCACCGTGAAACTCTGTTTTGAAAGGGTTCCTGCAAGAGCTCTGCAAGGGTGGGTTCCCTGACAGAAAAATACGCCAAGGGGGCCACCGTTATACAGTATCATGTAATATGATGTGCAAAATGTGATGCGATATGGTACAGTACATATTACAACATACCGTCATATAACATACTACGGGTGATATATCACGATATGATAACGTAACATGAGGTGACAATCTGTAATAAAATATGATATCGTTCTAGCAACAGTACAGTATGGTACAATAGTACAAGATATTATGATATTATGGACTAAAAAGACTATATAAGGGAACTACGATGGATGTCATGACTCTTCGCAGGCCTATGTAATACCTGGGACCATGCTTGAACTTCCCTTACATGCTTTTCCTGTTTCATAGACCCCACTGTAGCTGTATAGGGCCTTAATAGCTAGAATAGAGTTTTAGGGTATATTAAACTGTACTTACAATTGGGAACCCTCCAAAAAAGTAGAGGTACCTTGACTAGGCCCCTCCATTACCGTTGCCATTTAGGATCCTGTTTCGGAAAGGGTCGTATGCACGATGAAGCAAGTCGCAGTTTCGCGTTGAAACACGAAACACATGTGGTGGATCTAGGCGCAGACCAAGTATGCCCAAGTTCCTGCACCCCAACACCATCAGCCACACTTCCTAGTCGGACAGCTTTCGAGTTTAGGGGCTTGGGAGTTTGGGGAAGTTCATTGTAATTGTAAACCTCTGTATACCCACATTCCATAACATGTATATATAGAGTTAGTTTCTATTCCACGCCTCCTGTTCATCCAATAATCGAAGCCTTCACACTTTCAAGCCCTGAACCCAAGATCTGCCACACCGACTGACTGTACCCCAAATCCTCAGCACCAAATACAGATCCCTGATAGCCTGAATCGTGGAAGACTACTGAAGCTCGCAACCCTTGAAGCTCAACACAAACCCAGATTTGGGATTCCTCCTCAAAGCAAACATTCCCAAGCTCAAATGTCTACATCCCTAAACCACGAAGCCCCAGATGCCTATGGAATGGAAACCACAAATCTCGAAAAACTGTAGATCGCCTACAACCCTAAATTCCAAAGCCGCATATCTCTCAAGCCCCACTATTCTCTAACACCCGCCACGGCCTGTGCGGAAGCTTCCGGAGCATCCTGGCCAGCCAGCACCTGGATGTGAGGTTGGCAAGGATTTATTTTAGATTTACTGTTTTCGGTTTTGGCTTTCGGGGTCTTGGGTTTGTTTAGTGTCTGGAAGTTAATGATTTAGAGGGCTGAAGAAGGGCTAACAGGGTTCAAAGGGCATCACAACGGCTTTAAATTTCAATGGTTAACCTAGTGTTATTTAGGGTTTTTGGCTTCGGCTTCGGGAACTGCGCTGTCGTGTAGAAAAGGCACTTGCTGCAATCCGCCCCCGCTTCAAACCATGCCGTCACCGGAAGCAGGAACGAAATGTGATTACACGGGAACGCCCGCACATCGGATCCTGCCTAATTGGAATATGTAAATCAAAGAAAATCATCGCAAAGAGACCCTGGTAAACAGCTTAACGAACCCTCATTTTCAACGAACAACTCTGTCATCACCCCCTGGTAGAACAAACCTACAAATCCTTATGAACGGATAATCAACTAAGTAAATGAATGAATGCATGAATGGATGAATGGATGACTGACTGACGGACTGAGTGACTGACTGACCATGCATGGACGGACGGATGGATGCATGCATGCATGAATGAATGAATGAACGAATGAATGAACGACTGAAAAAACTAAACAACTGAATGTTTAAACACATTCCTAAACCAAGAACTAAATGAACATGTAATCCTGAAATGAGTTAAACTAAATATACATATATATACGCACATATCTAGATGTATTTATCTATTCGTTTAATTCTTTTAGATGTAAGTCGTACACAAGCAGACATAACACTTCGAATAACCTCATAAGGAAACCCGCATGGAAACCTTCGACATGCCGGGGAGCATCATGCATGGGGTTCGGCGGAGGCTGATATCCACCAGCAAGGAGTGGCCCGGCATCCTATGGGGATCGTCAGGTCTTTCATTGGGTTAGTACATTCTTTTAACATATAGGTTTTAAGGTTTAGTGATTACAAGCTTTTGCATATAGGGCTTCGGGATGAGAGGCTTTCTCACCCACGCTTTTGTTACGAGTTTCACAGGGTTGGATAGGCTTTTCTTGTGTAAGGGCTTTGTATATGGGAGTTCCCGAAAGGAAGGGACCCTATATCAGTACTGTATCGTATCCTACATAGTAGGATCCTTATTATAAGGACCCCAAAATAACGTACTCCAAATTTTCGGAAGCTCCCATATGGCGATCTCGGGACAAGGGTCTGAAGGCCTAGAGCCAAGTTGCCAGCACAAGCCGAGCTAACTGGGAGGGGGACGGTTTTGAGGGCCTGAGTTTAAGACTACTGTCAATGTGGACGCCTGAAGAATTTCCGCTGCCATTCCTTACATTATAGTCAATATCATACACCGCAAATCCTGTTTAGCATACTATGCTTTGGTTCCAGGCGTGCTTCTCTGCTAGAGCATTTGTCCTTGCGAAGCCTCATGACCTTGAGGGGTCGGTCATATAGGTGGTTGTCAAGCTTATGGTCCCTTTTTGGGTCCCTATTATAGTACGGCACCTATTATTTAGGGTACCCAAACAGGGACCCTAATTTTGACAGCCACCCAGATGGCTTCATCAACTGTATGAGAATGGGCCAGAATGGGTAGTTCTCTACATCAGGGACCCTTCCAGGTCCCGAAAAGTCATACCCGATCCTTCTAAAAAGGACCCGACTTTAGAGCACTACCCGAATGGAGATTGTAGAAGGCTCGGTGAGCGGGTGCGTGCAGTCCTGGATTGGGTCCCCGAAGTGTCTATGTACCATTACGTACAGGGTATGTTTCAGCCTGAAAGCGCTTCCTATGTAAAGATTCTGGGGGCAAAGCGTACAGGTGCATGGAGTAGGGGTAGTTTCCGAAGATACATGAGGCGCGTGATGTACAGACATGGGGGGCCTCACGCTCTGCAGGCCCTAAACCCTGAAACCAAAAAACCAGAAACGTTATGGCCCAAGCCCCGCAGCCCCTCGGCCCCAAATATCCTGCAATCTGAACAGCTCTCACATCTACAGCCCTCCCTGATGCCGCGGTCCGAAAGAGCAACGCAGCCGCTCAAGTCAACCTCAGCTGGGTCTTTCTTGTGTCCAGGGTTTACGTTTTAGGGTGTAGGATGTAGGACTCAGGGCTTTAAGGGCTTAGGGTTTTCGGATGCTCAACAAACGACATGTTAAGGCTTCGGGCCTTCGGGTTAATATTGAGCGGCGTTGGGGGGGAGGCGGGACCTAGCTGCCGTCACGATCAGCAAACAAAAACGAGGATCTGAATCTGACGTGAGCATGCCACAAAAATAAGTGCCGAACAAAATCCGATTGAGATGGCCGCGGTTGAAGGGCTGTAAGAGACCAGTCAGAACACTTCTTTCCGCAAATCACTGCGGATTTAGGGTTTAGGGTTGCTCAGTATAAGCCCATGGTTTAGGTGCGATGACGACTCCTTTGCTTCAGGCTTCAGGTTCGGCTTAAGCGTACAAAACACACAACACCAAAATCCTACGTTGGGGATTTCCGATAGCACAGTGCGAGTTGCGGATAGTTGAGGCCTAAGGGTGTTTCATTAGGATTCCACCTCGGATACCCAAAAGGATACCGTCACTTTCGTAGTAAGGGGCCTGGTAGGGGACCCTGCTGTCCGGAACACAGGATCGAAATGTGACCTAAATTCCACAAACCATGGCGGCAACAGATCCAAAACCCAGACCCAAACCATGAACTTCGGACATCCGCTGCTGTGCCGTCCGAGCGACAGCACTCAGCTTCGTCAATGACGCCAAGGGCTTCCTTTCTTCTTGCCAATGCTGGGTTCTTGTTAAGGGATTTAACTTATGATTTACCACAACAAGAGAATCACATTCTTATCTATTTACTTCCCATTATGGTAACTTAACGAATTAAATTACACTCTGTCCCAGAATACGCCGCGTGTGCATCAACCGGTCGGCAGCTGCGGGTGATGTTCAACAGGCTGGAATGCCGACTGTTGCACTTGGTTAAGTTTTGGTACGGGCCACTGCCGTATCCCAGAACTGGATGATGGCTTCGAGAGCCTTCACATTTCAGTTTCCAGAAGGAAGCGTGCCCAATACGAACCTTTGCTTAAGCCTCAGAATAGCTCCGAACCCAAACCCAAAACTCAGAACCCCCCAAATCCTGCACCCTCACGGTTGCACAGACCTGCGGAACAACCCTTGGACCGTCAAAAACCTTTGTGCAATATGCAACCTAAACCCCAAACCCGCCCTACAGCGCCCGAATCCTATTAATAAGCTGTTCGATGACAAGGCACAAGTCGGTCAGCTTCAAGCAGCTGCCGAGGCGAATGGCCTAGTTCAGGGCATACAGGGTTGAGGGTTTAAGATTTTCGGCTTTAGGGTTTAAGGTTCTTGGGTATAGGTTTTTTTTTTAAAGTTAGGTTGACGGTCTCTTTGTTCGCCTGCCCGAGTCGGCTCCTAACTATCCTCCACTGGTATGTTTTCATCCAGGAGCTGCAAAAGAACACATTTTCACGGAAAAGCAACTTAGACGCCCCTTCACTTCAACTCAGGCTTCCCTTCTCTGCTTGTAGCTCACGCCCCTCTAGGACTTCGACTTCGTTCTCTCTGGTTGGAGCGACCCTCACCCGTAGGACATACTTCATCTTCACATAGTGGTTGAGATACTCCCGAATCGTCCCGTACAGCAGTAGCATCTCCAGGGACATCTCCTCCATGTAGTTGTTCACCTTCTCCAGGTAGTTGTTCATGTACTTCCTGATCATCTTGTGCATCACCACCAGGTACAGCAGCATCATCAGTACCAGGTACAGTAACTGGCAGAGCAGGCACATTTACCAAGTCCAGGAGGGTAGCTGGTGTGTTTATGTTCACCCCTTCATCGGCAGCTGTGTTGACAGAGTGGCTGATCATGCTGCTTTGCATCCCTTCGCCCCCTTGGTGGATCAAGGTATCCGGAAGCATGTGAGGATCCAACCACGCATCACGAAGCCGATCCTGTAAGGTCTCCAAGCATGAGGCAGTAAGTGCATGCACAAAAGGTTGGCATGCCTCAGAGAACGCCCCACGGATGTCTTCAGGCGGGAGGCGTCCCACTGGACCCAACCTTGTGACTAGTACCGCCCCCAACTCGTCAAGGCGGTTCGTCAGTCGACGCAGTGTGTGCTCCAGGAGAGCGACACCCCAGTTCACTTCCCAACCACGGAGAGGATCACCATCTGCATCTTCACGTTCTGCCGCCCCTGCTAGCCGCTCGAGTAAAGCCGCAAGTTCAAGTACACATCGACGGTCCAGACCCAAAGACTGAAGTCGTAGATTCTCCTCAACTCCCAACCTCTGCATGAGACTATTTGTATCTCCTTCCTCCTCCGCGCTGTCCATCCCACCCCATGACGTCCTTGATGTAGTCGATGACGACGGTGTAGTCGGTGAGGAGGAGGTAGACGGCGTAGAAGAGGTTGTTGTCCATGATGTAGTCGGCGAAGGAGAGGTCGAAGTTGTAATACTCCCCATTATTCCATGATTGCTCCCCAACATTGTTTGAGTAGTAGCGACCCACACCAAAGCTTCCGTTGTGGTACGCGTGATGGACGGTGGCCAGCTCTCCCCACTGTCTGTATCTGGGTCATTGGTCTCCTGGTTCTCTTGTTCGGATATGTCGCCCTCTGCTGGTTCAGCCGGTATAAGATGTCCAGGTTCCGGCGCACGTCCCGAGGAGGCTGGGATCTCAGCCAGGAAGTTTGTCGCCCTCAAAGATCTCGAGGTAGCCATTCGTGGTGTACGGTCACGTCCCCTTCCATCTTCTTCACGTCCACGAAGTACATCTGCCACTGGTACTCCACGTCCCCTCAGCATTTCATCTGACACATCCCCTGGGTCACGTCGTGGTGGTCTTTCCTGGATTCTCAACCGAGCAGGCAATGTATGTGGATCCGTATAGGCATCATCCACCCCATTTCTCACTGCTTGGTGGAAAATACTTGCTGAGATCATAGCCGGGCGATAACACCCCGAAAGAACCCTGGCTCTCGCATCATCATTCGCCGGCATGTGCATCGCCCCATCCACTTCACGTCGCTGAAGGGTCTCCAGGATGAAGTTCATGGTGTTCACAGCACCCCTGAGAGCACGTGTGAAAACGCCCAGCATCCACATATACTGTGCACGAACGTGTGGGGCCACATTTCTGTCGCCCACCCTCAAGCTCAGTTCAGCCAGCCATCCATCAAGTTCACTGAGGTCCGCCCCAAGGATGCCATGGTTGATAAGTCCTTGCCACTCTTCCATATTGAATGTTTGTACCATGCTTGTGACCTCTCCATCTTCCATCACATCTTCCTCGTGTACACTTCGTGTGTCACCCCGATCATCTCTGCTGCGGCTTCGTTCACGCGGAGGATGTTCACGCCCCCTCCGCTGTTGTTGTCGAGGTTGTCCAGGACGAGGTGGAAGACGAACTCCTTCAGGAAGTCGAGCTGCAAGCCGGCGATGATAACGCACTAAGTCATTCGCCACGCCCAAGAGGATATCGGTCAATCGCCCCGCCAAACCAAGCAAGCGTGTACGCTGAGCTGCCACTCGAGGTTCTCGGAACAGCGGTAGATGGCACCCCACTTGCGGCTCCAACCTTCTCTCTAGGATGTCTGTGAGCGATTGCAACACCCCCAAGACGTGTCTCCATCGTACCAACCAGGATCGTAAAGCCCATCGTCCTTCAGGTCCTTCATCAGCTTGTTCCAGAGTAGCGAGTTCACGAAGTAGATTTCGAAGTTCTCGGCGCCCCTCGTCATGAATACCCAGGTTGTGGAGTTCCCCTTCTTCTGACATGCTAACCTGCATGAACACCCCACCATCATCAGTGTCTGGTCCTGCCTCGTTCTCCCAATCAGCCCATTGTTGTGCTGACCAGCGTGGGCGGTCTCCAGGTTGAGCATCATGGTGAGCACTAAGTTCTCCATGCAGAGCCCCATTATCGCCCCATCCAGGTTGAACATCGCCTTGAGTTTCCGACTGTGTCACCCCATTCCAGTGATTCCAATCCTCCCATTGTTGAGCTGTCCACCAGGGCTCTTCATAAGTGGTAGTTGGTGGTTGTTCACCAGAAGAACCCTGTGGTTCATCAGGTCGCACTTCCAGATCACCAGGTGGATCTGCATGAGGGTCTTCGTAAGGAGCAGCTTGATGTTGTTCATCTGGAGGATCTTGTTGTTCTTCAGGTCGAGAATCAGGCTGAGTAGCAGAGTGTCCTCCAGGTAGATCATGAGGGATAGCTTGATGTTGTTCATCTGGAGGATCTTGTTGTTCTTCAAGTTGAGAATCGCCCCAAGAGGGTGGAACTTCGTCAGCTGCTGTGATTGACGTCCCAGCATTCCAAGTATGCCAGTCGTCCCATTGTTGAGCTGTCCACCATGAAGCAGGTGAGCGATAACCAGACCATGCATCTGCCGCCTCAATTGGTTGGTCAGCACCAGGTACAGCAACAGGGTTGGTTGTTTCCATCGATGGTGTATCCCCATGACAAGTCTGTGGCTCTTGTTGGTCAGGGCCATGGGGCATGTGGTCATTTGCTGGTACGTCCCAATCTGGAGTGTCCGCCCCTGGAGGTTGTGCATCCCATGTAGCATCGGTTGCTGGCGTCGGCATGGGGTCCAGATGGCGAAAGAGAAGTGCTCCCCAGTCTGTAGGGTCCGAGCTTGATGTAGCCTGCATAGCTTTCTGCCAGGCTGGTACAAACGTGCCCGCCGCCCATTGCCGAGCTCTGTCTTCACGTTTTCCTTGACGTAGTCGCCCCTGTCCACCATCATGAAATCGTTGCTCATCATCTGTTCGCTGTCTTCCAACCCAAACCCCATGACGAAAGAAGCCATGGGCACGATGCCGTGGATCACTTGTGCTGCTGTCTGAGGTATGTTGGCGATCTCCTTGTGCTCCATGTTGTCGATCGCCCCAGCTCCACCATTCAGCATCGCGTTGAGCGGCACGTTGGTCATCAACCCACCAGCCATCATTTCTGCCATCCCATCCTCCATCGTTTGTGTTATCTCCACCTAGTTGGTCAAGAGAATATCCTTGAGCGTGTCCATCAGCTTGTCCTTGTTGGTCAGCTTGTAGTCCAGGCCGCTCCGCAGCATCACCATCACGACGATCCCATCCTCCATCGTTTGTGTTATCTCCACCTTGTTGGTCAAGAGAATATCCTTGAGCGTGTCCATCAGCATGTCCTTGTTGGTCAGCTTGTAGTCCAGGCCGCCCCGCAGCATCACCATCACGACGATTGTTGCTGTTACTGTTCCACCGGTTGAGGCGTGTATGTGGCAAGGCGCCAAAGCCACCAGCAGCACGGTCAGCAACAGGACGCGAAGCAGCTGCATCTGGAACTGCACGCCCCGGGAGCACGTAGTAGAGGAAGAGGCCCACGACAAGGAAGAAGAGCGCGCGTCCCCGCAGCATCGCGGGCGCCATTGAACGAATTGAAGGCTCGCCACAAAAGTTGCTAAAAGAGAAAAGCGTCCCCATCTGCAAAAGTTGAAGAGGTACATGAAACATACTGTTGACATGCATGCCGGTCGAGCACATATTGACTGCAGGACCATCAGCGCGCAGCTTCACATGTCTGCAACTCAACATGCACTCACTCACAATCGATCTCAAGTTGTCTGCCCCGGCACCAAGGAACGTCCCACGCACGAAGCCAATGACACAGTCCCTGCTGCCATCTTACTCTATCATTCGTCATCTGCATCCATTTCACCCCGTAGACTTCACTTAGTCGGCGTTCAAAGCAGTCTGCATAGAAACGTCCAGGGTGGCGTTTGCCAAAGGGCGGGGGCCACTGTTGTTCTTCACGCCACCATTCCATATCTCTCCACCTGAGCATCGCCCCAGCCATTCCCCTAACGTCCCCTTCCCACTGACGCCCCCAGTGACCGGCTAATTGATGTTGGAGTCGAAGCACTGTAGTTGACCACCTTTCAATGTTGTTGTTGTGAATCCATGCACGGATCCATCTGCACGTCCTACAGTTGAAGTCGGTCCACGTCTCATGCTTGTACCTCCCACAACCAAAGGCGAGGCGGTACAGACGGAGCTGGATACTATTGATTGCACGGAGGTCATCACTACCCCAATGCACTGCCCCCGCTACCCATTGCCACGTGCCCTGCACCAGAGAACGGATGGTCTTGATTTTGTCATGATAGCAACCCGGTCCCTTGAGGAGTTCGGCATGTTTGCCCCAGGCTGCCCAAATACGACCCATCAGACATTTTGCCTGTTGAGACTGGCCCTCTTCAAAGCAAAAGTCCAAACCAAGGATACGAAGGGACTCCCCTTGTTCAAGGAAGGTCACGGTCTTATCATCGATCTGCATAGCTCTGGGGCCACGGTAGTACGGAGTCGCAATGATGCCAGTTTTCTCAGCAGCTAAGCGTAGCCCCAATTTGCCCAGCAGGTCAACGATGATCTTCACGTTGTTCTCCATCACGCGGACCTCGTCACCCCACAGAACAACGTCATCTTGAAAACATCCACCATCTAACGGCAAGTCGTCGAGCTCCCCACTGCATTTCATCCAACGTGGATCTGCATGTGCCTCAACCATCACCTGTTGAATGATCAAGCCGAAGAGCTCAGCAGACTCAGGACTCCCCTGGCGTATGCCACGGTTAGCCTTGACTTCAACTTCCGCCCCACCAGGTGCTTGTCCAATCAACCGATTGGCGCGAAGTAGTCGTAAGAGAAAGGCAAGTTCAGCTCCATGAGGAGAGTCACCGAGGCGGGTCACAAGGAAGTCAGCAACCGAGGAACGATGTATGTAGTCGAACGCCCCACGGATGTCAAGCTTGAGAAGTATGCCATGAAGGCGCCACTCACGACAATGATCTCTGAAGCGACTCACCGCCCCGATCAAGTCGGCAACTTGTCGCCCCTTACCGCTAGAGGCCCACCTACATGTGGAGCGAATGGAGTCAAAGCACCGATTCATGACGACCCTGGTGATCATCTTCTGAAGCGTACAGGACATAGCAATTGGACGAAGTTGCCCCACCCCAGTAGGTATGCTGACTTTCGCCAGAAGGGCAAGGAACGATTTGTGCCATTCCTCCGGCAGCGTGGTGTGCATAATCGTCTCATCGACAAGTTGACAAAGCTGTTCTGGTTGCTCGTGCATAAGTTGTTTGAGTAACGGTACACTCACCCCATCAGGTCCGAGTGCTGCCTGTGCTTTCATGCCCTCCAATGCGCCCCAAATTTCCTCAGTTTGTACAGGACGGAAGTCGTTGGTCTTGGCGTTAGCGACAATGAGGGTCTCGAGTGTCGCATCCCAATCAGGTTTGGTATCGTCCCACATCTTATCTTCCAGGTGTTTGCCGGCGCCAGCAGCCAAATCCTCAGCAGACTGGTGGGCAAGCAAAGTACCCCACCAACCACGCGTGTTCTTCTCGTTCTTGTAGCCGCGATACCAGCTCCAATCACCAGCCAGGATCTTGCTGAATCTTTCAGACTTCCACATCCTGAGCTTACGTCTCCTGATTGCATGCACCCCTTTCCACTCAAACTTATCACCACTGGCTTTAGCTTGTCGTACTGCATCCCGAACTTCTTCATCGTCCTCATACTTTCGTACTTTGCATGCCACAGTTCGGTCCTTCGCTGCTTTGTAGAGGTGTTCCAAGCTGTCCACTTGAGGTAGCGGATCCGTCCCATGAACCCATCTAGGTCGAGTGTCAAAGCGAGGCAAAATCCATTTGCGGGAGAGGTAGATGTCGGCATAGAGCAGGGCATGGTCCGTGTTGATCCACATCCTGGCAGCTTCAACAATCTTAACCTCCCCCATGCGAACGAGCCGTGAGGCGATGACATCGATATGTCTCCCCACTCGTGTGGCATCTCTGGGAAAGTGAGTGGGCACTCCCCGTGCATGTACTTCAGGAGGGCAGGCGCGTAGTCGGCAACTCCCCAACAACTCAAGGAAGGCCTCGATCTTACCACCACCCCTGACAGGAAAAGCATACGGTTCTTCTTCATCAGACGAAGTCCACTGGATCACTTCATTCACATCGACCCCAACTGTAGCAGGACAGTCTGGATGCCACTTTTTGAGTCTCTGCTTGAAAGTTCCAACAACCTCCTGGTATTTAGCCACCGTCACCCCCGTGGGACAATGCAAGGAAGCCAGGATCAGACGTTTGTGTCCCCGAAGGCGTATCAACCACGCCGCCCCATTGGAAGTAGCCATCTTGTCAATGACGCAGTCGAACAAGTCCTTGGCAATGCCCACAGCCACGCCCCGCCATTGTTGTTCATCCCGATGTGCAAACCACATGAAACCATCAGTCTCCTTTTCATCCCATCCGGCAGCTTCGGTCCTCGAAATTTCCTGAAGAGCCACGAGATCAAACTCCCGCACTGCCACCTCGACTTTTTCATAGTTCTGACCTCCGACATTCCACGAGGCAAACGTTCTGCGCAAACACTTAGCGTTCACAGTAGTCGCCCCATCGCATGCAGATGCAGACAAGCTGTCTGCAGTGAAACCTCCTCCTCCCCGACGTCATTTGTTGATCTCGCGCTCCACCGCCTGGAGAGCGCATGTGAAGGTCACCCCGGTAATGTTGGCAATGGCTTGAACATCAACCCAGCCACTGCTGATGACTTTGATGGATTCGCCCCGAGGCGCGCGGTGACTGGCACTACCAACTTTCCAGTCTTGGAACCAAATTGTGCCTGCCGCCCAGTCACACTCATACTTCGCCTCTTCAGTGGCTTCCGGTCTGCAGCTCTCCCCACTCTTCTGCACATCCCTGGCAACCTCGAGACAAAGTCGACGGAGTAAGCTGCAATGCTGACTGCGTTTGCGGGCTTCTTTGGTTTTCACGAACTGCACCCACATGTTCTTAGCAACACCCCCATTGTCAGCGGCGCTCGACTGTAAGGTAACTGGGTTCGACCGCAAGGCCTTGATGACGCCCCACATTCGATCACGTAGTGAACTTTCTGTCTCATCCCCTCTCGGCTTGAACTTCAAAGCCCCAAAGGATCGTCTCGGTCCCCACACCAAGAGGTCTTGTTGGTCGATCAATTTCTTCACGTCATCCCGGCTGAGGAATGCCTTGGCTTCCTCAATGATCGTCCCCTTTTTGGTGTCCTGGGCCCATCCACCAACGATCATCGTGCGGCGGTCTTCCTCAGAAAGTTCTTCACGTCCCGCTGACCCCAGATGTGTGTCCCCTGGTTTGTCGTCCTTCTTGTTGTTGTTGCGGAGGTATTGAGCCCACGGATCAGCTTGGCCACTTCCATGTGAAGACTCGCCCTTCTTGTAGTTGACCAGCTCCTTTTCCATCGACTCAACTTTCTTTCTCGTCTCTTCGCCCAAGATCTCAAGCTTCTGTACTCGTTCAGTGACCCCTTTCGTCTTCTCCCTCTCCTTCTTGACCTCCTGAGCCACATTCCCAACATCTTTGGCCACAGTGTCGATCCTCTCGTCCATTTCTTTCCACGCCCCTCTCACTTCCGTCTTCACGTCCTGTAGATGTCCAGCAAGTAGTCGGCGAAGTTCACGACCCGTCATAGGTAGATCACCCGGTTCACCAGCATCTCTCTTTTTCTCAGGGCTGACTGACGTCCCATCGTTACGACCTCTCTTGTTCTTGCTCTTGCGTCCTCCACTGCCACTACCCGGGAGTTCGGAAAGAAGTCGAACGTCCTCTGCCTCCAGGTCCTCTTTCTCCTCTTTGACATCTGGCAATTCCTCATCATCATCTGAAATCTCATCGGCGATCTCAGTAGGAGAGTGATCGCGTTCCCCCATGGTGGCGTGGGGACAAAATGTCTCAGGCACTTTGTCAGGTAACGAAGGAAAACGGCAGGATCGTGTAAGTGGAGAACGCCACTGGGTACAGCAGTGTAGAGCAAGTCCCGAATCACCGTCCCCAGATAGAGCGCGACCCACGGGAACGTCGCGAGCACCGGGCTGATCACCGTGAAGTCACACGCACATCAACCCTGAGAAACAACACCGGAACCAAGG